CCGGATAAGGAGTATGATACCTTCGTGCTCACTTTGTTGAACGGGAGATCTTCTATCAGCTATAGTGAAGTGATTAACGTTTTGACCAATTATGATTTGAGGAGGAAGGACAAGGAGACTTCCCGTGCTAGCACTTCAGGCGAGGCCTTGTCGACGAGAGGTAGAAGCCCATATCCGAAAGGTGGTAATAGAGGAAGGTCAAAGTCAAGAAGCCGCCACCAATTAGCAAAGAACCAATGTGCATTCTGCAAGGAGCAGGGACATTGGAAGAGAGACTGCCCGAAGAGAATGGTAAGAAAAAGGGCCCGAAGGCCAATGAGGTGAACGTTGCAAAAGGCGATGATTCCGATGATTCGTGCTTTTCTCTATTGATTACTCCGAAGGTGAACCATGTGGATGCATCAGACTGGATGCTTGATTCCAGCGCTACTTTTCATGTGACCCCTAGGCGAGACTGGTTTGCATCTTTTGAGAAAGTCGACGGGGGCGTTGTTGTCATGGGAAATGATCAATCCTGTGGCGTTTGTGGGATAGGTACCGTACGGATTAGGATGCACGATGGAGTAGTCCGTGAGTTGAAGGAGGTGAGATTTGTTCCTCAACTGAAGAAAAATCTTATCTCAGTTGGAGCTTTGGAGGCAAAGGGATTCAAGGTGACTTTCGAAAACGTTGTAGCGAAGGTTACTAAGGGATCATTGGTGGTGATGAAGGGAGTCTGCAATCAAAATTTGTATTATTTGAAGGGAAGCACCGAGATTGGCCAGGTTACTTCGGCTATTTCAGAAGCGGACATGAGCAGACTTTGGCACTATAGGTTGGGGCACACAGGTAAAAAGTCACTGCAGGCATTGTGCAAGCAGGGGCTATTGAAGGGAGCCAAGAGTGGGAAGATTGAGTTATGTGAGTACTGTGTTCTTGGCAAGAAGACGAAGGTGAAGTTCGGGACTGCCGTTCATCAGACGAAGGGCATCCTGGATTACGTGCACACAGTCGTTTGGGGTCCCACCAAGACTGCATCACTTGGTGGTCGACATTGGTTCGTCACTTTTGTAGATGACTATTCTAGGCGTTGTTGGGTGTACACCAAGACGAAGAAGAGTGAAGTCCTAGATTTGTTTGTGGAGTGGAAGAAGAGATTGGAACTGCAGACTTGGAGAAAGATCAAGACGTTGCGATCCGACAACGGTGGTGAGTATACTTCTGACCCCTTTCAGCAGCTATGTCGAGACGAGGGCATAGAGAGACACTTCACAGTTAGTCATACACCGCAGCAAAATGGGGTGGCAGAGAGGTTGAATCGGTCTTTACTGGAGAAGATCCGATGCTTATTATCGCAGTGTGGTTTGGAGAAGATCTTTTGGGCTGAGACACTTACATATGCGAGCCACTTCATTAATAGGCTGTCTTCATCTGCGATTGAGGGGAAGACCCCTATGGAGATGTGGTCGGGAAAGCCAGCACATGAATATGACCAGCTCAAGGTATTCGGGTGCCCTGCATATTATCATGTTAGAACTGATAAATTAGAACCTCGAGCTAGGAAGGCCATATTTGTAGGATTCAAGTGTGGTGTCAAGGGATACAAGCTTTGGGATCCAGTTGATAAGAAGATTGTGCTGAGTAGGGACGTCACGTTTGATGAAGCTTCTATCTTGAAGCTTCCCAGCTCTCATCAGGTGGAGAGCGACCCGACGGAGGAGATATCGCAGGTGGTGGAGATCGATACGGCTTCACATTGTCCAGATGGTACAGTATCCATGCAGGTGCCGACTGAGGTGATGCCAGGCGAGCACGACGATGACACGGAGGATACGAGTACAAATGTGCAGGATCAGGAACCGACGGCTCAGGTTCAGGATTCTAATGCGGCTAGGAGACAGAGGAGAAACATACAGATGCCAGCACTGTATGCCGACACAGTTGCATATGCACTTCCGGTGGAGAGTATCGATGAGTTGGTACCTACTACTTTCAGAGAGGCCGAGCAGAGTTCGGAGGCTGATTCGTGGCAGGTGGCTATGCAGGAGGAGATGGAATCTCTTCATAAGAACGATACATGGGAGCTGGTTGAGCTTCCAAAGGGGCGGAAGGCAATTGGTTGCAAGTGGGTATACACAAAAAAGAAGGGCATTGAAGGCACTCCATTGAGATTCAAGGCTAGGTTGGTTGCGAAGGGCTATGCACAGGAAGAAGGAATAGATTATAATAAGGTTTTCTCTCCGGTTGTGAAGCACTCTTCGATTCGGATTTTGCTAGCTTTGGTGGCACAGTATGGATTAGAGTTAGATCAGTTGTATGTGAAGACGGCATTTCTTCATGGTGATCTTGATGAAGAAATATATATGACTCAACCATTGAGATTCCGAGCTGCAGGGAAGGAAAAATTAGTTTGCAAACTGAAGAAATCGCTATACGGTTTGAAGCAGTCTCCTCGACAGTGGTATAGGCGATTCGATGGTTTTATGATTGGTCATTCGTACACTCGGAGCCAGTTTGATCCTTGCGTATATTTTCGCAAGTTGAAAGGAGGTGCGTACATTTATTTGTTGCTCTATGTCGACGACATGTTGGTTGCCTCTATTTCCAGGTCGGCTATAGATGAGTTGAAAGTTCAACTATCAAATGAGTTTGAGATGAAAGACTTGGGTGAGGCGAAGCGCATTCTAGGGATGGAGATCGGCAGAGACAAGAAGAAGGGCAGAATTTGTTTGACACAGGTGGCTTATTTGAAGAAAGTTCTAGCGATTTCATGTTAGCATGGATACGAAGCCAGTTGGTGTACCTTTGGGAGCCCATTTGAAGCTTTCAGCTGGTCTTTCACCGAAGTCAGTTGAAGATCGTGAGTTGATGTCGAAGACTCCATATGCGAGCGCGGTTGGGAGCTTGATGTACGCGATGGTATGTACGAGGCCAGATTTGTCACAGGCAGTGAGCATGGTATCGAGATACATGCACGATCCAGGAGTGGGTCATTGGGATGCTGTGAAATAGATTTTGATGTAAATTCGAGGTACGCTCAATGTTGGTTTGGTTTATGAGCGGGACACTAAAGGTGGGCAGCTATGCATTGGTTATGTTGATTCGGATTATGCCTGGGATTTGGCTAAGCGCCGGTCTACTACGGGGTATGTGTTTACTTTGACCCGTGCGCCGGTGTGTTGGAGATGCACCTTACAGTCGACAGTGGCTTTGTCTACGATGGAGGCAGAGTATATGGCAGTTACGGAGGCTGTGAAGGAGGCTATTTGGCTTCGAGGACTTTTGGAGGCACTTGGTATATCGCAGAGGTCCGGCACTATTCATTGTGATAGCATGAGTGCTATCTATTTGGCGAAGAATCAGGTTTTTCATGCGAGGACGAAGCACATTGACGTTCGTTATCACTTCGTTCGGGATGTTCTTGAAGATGGCGATGTCGAAATTATGAAAGTCCACACGAAGGATAATCCGGCGGATATGCTCACTAAGGTGGTTCCGAGCAACAAGTTTGGTCATTGTCGAAACTTGTTGCACATTCGTAATTGTTGAGGCCGTTGGTGCCCATTTGGATGAACTACGGACGGCTTGATTCCTTGGGCAAGAGGATACGTAGGCAGTCATTTTTGATTCAGTCGGTTTGGATTAGTTGATGGGGGTGAGATTGTTTGAGCTCTTGTTTGGGTTCCCGACTTGTTGTCGAATGAGTGGGACATTTGGATGCTTTGGTGTCGGCTCAGTTTTGAGAAAACTTCACCGAGGTGGAGAATTGTGAACACGTGTTTTCAATTGGGCTTTTATGAGGCCCAATTTTGTTTTGGCCACACCGAGCACGAGAACAAGATTTCTGCGCATATATAAAGTTGCTATTTTCCCTAGGTTTTGCAAGCAAAGGAGCAGTGCGTGGAGATTTTGGCGGCTGCAAGTGAACAGCGGCTGCAGGAGAGAGAAAGTGCAGGAATTTTCGGCTGTGGATATTTTTCAGCAGATGAAGATTTCCTTTGTGTAGTCTCTTCTTTTGGTTTTGTGATCTCTTTGAGAGGTATTTTGTGAGAGAGTTGAGAGAGTTTGTTTGAGGGTTTAGATTGTGAGTGATTGTAAACCCTAGTTGTATTCTCTCCCTCTATTAGTAGATCTCCTCCTCCTTGCCCCGTGGACGTAGGCAATTTGCCGAACCACGTAAAAATTGATTGTACTGCTTTTGTGTGATTTGTAATAGCTTTTAGGATCCCTCGACAGGTCAGTCCTAGAACTGATGAGAGGAAGAGCCGATATCTCACTTGGTTGAGATATCCGCTTCAGATTCTTGTTTCCTTGGTGAGACGGGAATTCTTATTGCGATCTGACTTTCTTGTTGTGCTGTCGAAGTGCTGCCGAAATTTCCGCTGCGCGCAACAGTTACCATGTAATGTCTCGATGTATTCGTGTTTAAAAGTTACTATGCCACACATTTTATGACATGCACGCACTTGATAACCATAATCCGTCTCCGATGTGGATCAGAGATATGCAATTCACCTTTTTTTATTCTTATGACTGAAATTTCATTCACGCAAAAGAAAAACAATACACATAACAAAATTTGATATAAGCCATCAAATGTGATGGCGGCATCGAACTTCTGAGTATGTCAACTTGGAATCTGAGTATTATATGTTCCCAAAAATAGTAGTTATATATATAATTATGAATATTATTCTAATGTTTATGAATTAATAGAAGTTTGCTCATTTTGGAAAAAATAGAAAATGGGATGCTGGATCTAATGAAGCACACACTATAACTTTAATGCTCACCAAACCCAATGTTCAGAATGAAATTTCATGAAATCTTGCTTTGTTTTATACTGAAATTGAGGAGATGATGAGAGAATAATTACATTCTCTTGTTTGAGGAGTTATAGTTAGACAAAAATCACTTCATCCATCATTTTAAGACCTCCCCTTCACTGTATTGTATGCACTCTTTAACTATTTCGATTCAATATCTATGTTCCTTCTGTTGATATCTATGCAAATTTGTAGGAATACTATTGTCTTGCAGACTATCCTGAAGCATAGCACTATGTTTTCAACATAAAGTTTGAGGCCGTGCTCATACAGTGGCAGCGTGAGTTGAACTCAACATATGATAAATATACAGCAGATTGGCAGAGGTTTTTAAATATCGATGATAGGGTGGACCTTAATCATTTCATAGCTCTTCCTTTTTTTTATTAAAACACCAAGTCAGCACAAGTATTTTTCATTTTAATTTTTCTTATGAACAAAGATTATAGATTCATTTCATCTTTAGTAATAAACAATTTGTTGTAGAATAAATCTAAGAAGGGATCGGCGAAGCGAAATAGCATGTGCAAGCTTGACCACCACTTGGGATCATCATCGTTTGCTAATCTTGAGTATGGTTATTATTGAGACATGGAATATTATTTAAAGTTTTGTATTCTCTTATTTTATCAATATGACCCACCTCTTTTAACCTTTTAAATTTGCAGGGGAAGCCAATAATGACGGTTAATTTAATGGCTAAGTTAGCTTATAGCACCTTTCGCCCCACTTATGAAGATGATGAGAAGATCAAGGAAAACATAATGTTGGTGGTAAATTTTTTGAATAAATCATTATGTAATAACTATTTTGTTGATATTCATTCTTTTTATTTGCCAATCAAAGATATAACTTTTTTTCCTTATATGATTTAAGATAGTACTAATGCTGCGTCAAAGGAAGTAGCACTACGTGCTACTCAGGAAGAAGCTGATGACCCTCACATCTTGTCTAGAGAGGAAAATGGTAGATTTGCTCTGAATGTTATGGGGGGAAATAACAGGGGCAGATTTCCATTAATGGGGGTTGGAGTTGTACAGGGCATGTGCACAATATCCTCCACGGCGTCTTCATCATCTTCAACTTAAACAAGGTCCTCCACAAGGACTCTTGCTACGTCAGCAATTCTACATGTCTCATCTTATCTACATGGTAATAGTGATCCTGCATTACTTGTACAGGTGACGAAGGCTATGTTCTCAGCTTTGCCAGCGGCCCCTACAATGGATGAAGTTTTGACTCACATCATGTTATGCTTATCCGAAAAGATTCCAGCTGATTTATTTGGAGATGTTGTATCACTTTTAGACATACAAAATAGATCTGGTCAAGACCAGTGCATATGTATGTTGATAATATATGTGTGTATTGTATTGCTAAATTTTATATTTAGAACAAATCTATTTATTCTCATGCTAGAGTTGCTGGGGGGGAGTAGCAGCGGCGTAGAGGAATGATGTTGACGACGTTGACGAATCATGATTTTCTGTGATGAGTTTTCATTTGTATATATATTAGTATTATTTCTTCTTTTAAATTTTTACTTCTTTCAAAGTTTAATTCAAATCTTAATGGATGCATAGTAAATAAAATTATTTGGATATGAGAGCGTGTTGATTATACAAACTCCATATCTTCTATACTTAAACGTGTGATAATAAAGAACATTAAATAGAACATGATAGAGAAATATACACATAGAAAAAGACTTAGAAAGACATGTCACGAGATTATAATGATTAGAAACTATATAATTTTAATATTTTTAAAATATTTTTATTTATATCAATATTCATTTATATGCTTAAAAATATTTTGTACAGGTGCACGGGATCATGCACGTATCACGTGCATTATGAGTATTAGTTTTATGTATTAGACAATGTTATTATTGTAGGAGAGACATGATATGTATGAAACAATATGTGTTTGATGATTTTATATTGTGACATTTATATATTTTGATTATAAGTTGTTTTGCGGATGGTTTATTTGTTTGTGTTTGATCTTGGAATGTAATGTATATTGGTTGGGTTTAGTATTCGAATAGAATGAGTAATGTGGTATGTGATTGATGTGTTGGATTGCATGTTGATTACTGTAGATTTGGAATTGGATTTGCATATTGATTGGTATTGGATTTGCATATTGATTATTGTTGGATTGGAATTGGATTTGAAATTGGTTTTTTATAATATTGGATTTGGAATTGGGTTGTTATTGGATGTATAGGTGATATTTGTATATAGGGGGAATAAAAATTCAAAATGTTATTTTCTAAAAGAATATAAACATCCCAGACAGAAATTTCATCTAGGAAGTATCCTAGACAGAAATTCCGTCTGGGATGTAATAAAAAATCCTAGACGGAAATTCCATCTAGGATACTCCTAGATGGATAATCTATCTAGGATATCCTAGACGGAATTTCCATCTAGGATACTTCCTAGACGGAAAATCCATCTAGGATACTCTAGACAAAAATTCTATCTAGAAATTATCGCAGACTGAGTTTTTAACCGTCTAGAAATATCCTAGGTGTTTATTTAATCCGTCTAGGATACCTTTCCATCTATGAAGGTTGTTCTACATGGAATTCCATCTAGAATGTCTCATCCTAGACAGAAACTTACTAGACCAACATCCTAAATGGAATTCCGTCTAAGATGGTCAATTTAGACAGAATTCTGACCAACTAGACAGAATTTCCCATCTACAAAATGTTGTTTTTTTACCAGTGTAAGGAGGTGAGGTTGGAGATGCTAGAGAGGAGCGACATGACAAAAAGTAGCAAAATAGGTCGACGATGCAAGCAGTGAGTGGAGTTGTCATTTAGGGATGTAGAGGAGCGACAAACTAAGGTAGTGGGACAATGAATTAGGGTGGAGATGGCGAACTACTACGGTTAGGGTTTTATGTAGCAGCGAGAGAGAGAGGTTTGGGGATTTAGAGTTAGAGGCGAGCAACGGTCTTAGTGTTTAGGGATTTGGGGGTGGCATGTGTGATGCTCTCCGGCATTGATTTAGGGTTCATGAGGATATGAGGAAGGCAAGATCTAGTGCGAGAGAGAGAGGGATAAGTCACAAAAAAGGGTAGAGAGAGGGGGGGCCCTGATATTGTGGTTTTTTTCTTTTCTATTTTTTGGGTGGAAAAAGGGGCGGGTGTGTGTGGCCATGGCTCTGTGCGTGCGGGGGGCGGGGCGTGCTTTCTCAATCAAACAGTGAATGACTCAATGGATTAAAACGTTGGGGTTGTGAAAATTTGTTTCAATGGTTCCAACCATCTGTTAAGGTAGCCCTTCTTTGTACTAGTGGTTAGTAACTGAGTATAAAATATATAAGGTATCTAATAGTGAAAGTATGGTGATCAATCTTCAAATTATTCAGTCTTAAGGAATTAGTGTCAAATTTCATCTATACAAGCCTCACAAGATTGTTCAACAAAGCATGAGACTGACCACCTCAGTAGACTTATATATCAACAAGGGTACCCCTAGCTACAAAGCCTACTTATGTTGTACACAGCAAACGAATCTGACTGGATTGATGATTTCTTCAATATGTGATTTACTATATCTTTTGTATATCTTGGACGTTTATTTTGATTATTGTTTAACTGATATCTTGTGAGGTAAATGCACTAAAATTTTGAAATTTTTACTACTTTCTGAAAATTTTGTTGCTGGGTTCACTTATAATTGTAATGATCAGGAATAATAATATTGGTGTACTTATGGTAATATCACTTACAATGTGAATTAGTTATTAAATATAAGGATTTTCCCTTCATAAAATTATGGCACAAATGGTTGATTAGAAGTACAATGTTAGTGTCAACTACAAGGAGTAATTAATAGGTTGTGCGTCGGCTATGTAGTTTCATGTCGTTATCTCTGTTTCATCTTTTCATACCACTTTGAAAAAACTTGTATTCTCTGGTATGCATGAGCTTCTTGATGTACAAACATTTCTTACATGTAAGGCTAAATAGTTCTTATCTCAAAACTTCCTTTTCTTTTTTCCCCCTTTACTTTTCTTTTCCCTCTTTTTTTTAGTCAATGAGACTTCTTATCACCATTGTACCTCCTACCTTATGTCTACCCCCACACCAATGATATAACATAATATTATAATATAATATGTCAAGTTAGGGGATATTTGTAATTTTAAAAAATTTCTAGGGTGCTATTTTTTAAATTAGGAAACTTTCAAGGGGCTATTTTGTGATTTTTTAAACTGTTAGGGGGTTGATTGTAGTTTTTTAAAGTTATTGAGGGTTATTTATAATTTTAAAACTTTCAAGGGGAGGTTGTAAAATTTTTAAGGGGTAGTTTTGTTAAATTATCATGGGGTTATTAGTAAATTTTAAAACTTTTAGGGGTTTTTTGAAAATTTTAAGGGGATGTTTGTAATTTTTTAAACTTTTAAGAGGTTGTCTGTAAAAGTTTTAGGTTGCCTGTAAAGTTTTAGGGAGTTGCTAGTAATAATTTGAAATTTTCAATAGGGTATTTATTAGTTTTGCAACTTTCACGCAACTAGTTGTAAAACTTTGGTAATACTTGTTAGTAAAATTTTTAAGGGGATATTTATAATTTTTAAATATTTCAAAGGCTGATTGTAAAATTTTTTAGAGGATTGCTTGTAATACTTCAAGGTACCGTTTGGCAAAAGGTTAAGTGAGGGGTTAAGGAGACTTAACCCCTTCTTAACCTGCCAAACACAACAAATCTATATAAGGGTTAAAGTGAGTTAACCCTCCATAATTTTCCAAACATAAATAATATAGAAGGGTTAAGTTAACCCCTCTAGAGGGGTTAAAATGAGTTAACCCCTCAAAATGAGGGGTTTACTAATACTCCTATTTAGATGGAATAAGAGAACCCTTTTAATTATAAAGAAAATAGTCAAAATCATTGTTATTCCCAAACACTAAAACTGATCATAAGGGCTAAAATAAAACTTATTTAACGGGTTAATAATTTAGTCCTTCGGATTATCAAATGAGCTAAGTACATTAATCCTTCTCTTTAACCCCTTTTCATTAACCCTTTGCCAAACAGGGCCCAAGGGACTACTTGTGAGTTTTAAACTTTTCAGAGGGTTGCTTGCAATTTTTGAATTTTCTAGGGATTTTTTTATTTTTGGATTTTAAAGGGGGCAGCTTATAGTTTCTTAAATTTATGGTTCTACTTGTAACTTTTAAATTTATAGGGGTTTATTTATGATTTTTAAATCTTAAGGGGTTTAGTGTATTTTTCTAATTTTCACAGACCTCATTGGAATTTTAGATTTTTCATGATGTTGTTTGTAATTTGTGGATCTCACAAGGTTGTTTGTAATTTTGAATTTTTAGAGAGATGTTGTAATTTTTGGATTTTGAGGGGAGTGGTTGATAGTTTTCTAATGCCCAAAAATCTTTTATAAAGGAGGTCTTTGGTTATTGGAATTTTTTAATTATGGATAGCCTTAATTTGATGAGGGATCTTAGATGAAGACGGTATTAGAAAGAGAGATTTTGATTATTATAACTTTTTTATTATGGATAATTTTGATTTGATAAGGATACATAGTTAAAAATGAGATAAGGTTTACATGTGTAAGTTTCGAATACGATAAATGAACAGGTGACATTTTTTTTAAATATAACATGTTTTTGTATTTTTAGAAATAGTTAATCAATTTCTCTTTATATATAAAAAGGAGGGATATGTAAAGTTTTGATCTTAAAGAAAGTTGATCATTCCAAAATGGTCGGTGCACCTCTTATAACTAGTAGGTTAGGTGACGGATCCGGATCCTCTCCTAACGAGGAGGTTCCTAAGATCTCCTAATGGGATCTTGGCCTTTGATTTATCAATCAAATGCCAAGATTTCCTCATGAGCAAAAGTAAGGAGATGATAAGGATGAGATCTTGGCCTTTGATTGATAAATCAAAGGCTAAGATCTCTTTATTAGGAAATATTAGGAACACTATGCATTAGGAGAGGATTCCAATTTTTAGGTGACGCTAAACCTTTAGAGGCACGAACTTTTTTTTTGGCCATATCAAAGGATTCCCTTTTATTTAATGTAAAAAGAATCATTCTAAATAAAGAAGTATATATCCTTGTGTAATTTTCTTCGCTTAATTACATCAGAAATATTGATTTTATGTCAAATATTTCAAACTAATACATTAGAACCTTGATCAGTTAATCATGGCATCTTTAATTCTGTTGTTTCTTTTCAGAGGCTAAATCTTTTCATCTACGGGCCTCATAGATAATAAAATATAAAACGGATAATTGAGACACCTTGCTTTCTGCTGCTTCTCCTTTGCCTTTTCTTTTTGGGTAATGATGAATGAAGTTTTATATCAAAAGAAAAATGCTCAGTTTTCTGACCTTTGCTATTCACAATACTTCAAGATGA